ATAAAAAGGAAAAAAAAATATATATATATATATTAGATAAACTAGTTAAAAAACGTTAAAAAAGAAAAGGGTAAAAGTTAAAAAAATTTAGCAGAAAAAAAAAAATTGAAAAAGAAAAAAAAATTAAATTAACTGCAAGGCTAAAGAATCATGGGGAGAAAGCCATGAGTTCCGTGCTTTGCTTTCTCCTCCTCTGGAATTCCACTGCTCTCCTTGGTATTGAAACTGCAGTCCTTGGTAGGTAAACTTGGTCCTGGCTGGGTTTCTTATTGCTCTTCTGGGGAAGGGACCTGTTGTAGTGATTCTCAAGTGTCTTTGCCCCAGGCGGAGTTGCACCGCCCTTACCTGGGCCGGTCTGAGTAATCTGATCGGGTTTGCTTTCGGGAGCTTTTGTTCCCTGAGCGCTTTCCGTAGAGTTCCAGAGGGCGGGAATGAAGATGGCGGCCTCCCGGTCTCCGGCCCAGAGGAGCTGAGAGCCCGGGGCCCCACTCCTCAGTGCGCCCTCAGAGAACAGCGCCCAATTACTCTCGTCACCCTGGCCTCCGGCCGCGCTCCGAGCTGACCGAGCCTGCGACCGGTTCAAGGTAACCCCGAGGTTAGAGCTCACTCCTCAGCTCTGTCTCTGTAGCCGGCTTCCCTGTTCTAATACCTGTAAGCTCTGCGACACTCAGACACCCCCGATCCTTCTGTGACCCTGCAGGACCTGAGGCCACGGTGACCCCGCGTGGGCTTCACCCCGGTTAAGCCTCTGGAGCGATGTCCCTCAGCGGAACAGACTTTTAAAAGTCCTGATTTTGTGCTCCGTTGCTCCGCCGCTTGCCGGGAGCCGGCCCCTCCCCCCACGGTCTATCTTCCCGTCGCTTTGGATTCACTTATCTGCCAGTCCTACCTTTCAGAAAGTGGTTGATTTTCTGTTTCTAGAGTTGCTGTTCTTCTTCTCTTCGATCTCCCGTTGGATTTGTAGGTGTTTGCAATCTTTAGATAAGCTATCTAGCTGATCTCCCGCTACCTGAAGTAGTCTCTGCCTGCTACTTCTCCGCCATCTTGACTCTTCTGTCGGATGCAGTAAAGTTTAGAATTTATCTTTAAAATACATTTAGTTTATGTGCTTGTGGATCCACAGAACTTTGGAAATCAAGCTGAGGATATTTTTAAAATATTGTACTATTGCTTTTAATTTTTAAATTAAAGATCAATGGCCAAATGCCTCTTTACCTTAAGAGATGAGCTAATAATAATAGTTGTTGTCCATTTTATTTTTTCTTTTCTGCCATTTTCAGCCATCTGTCTGTCTCTGGATCCACCCAGGTTCTAATGGTGCCACAATCTGAAAAAAAGAAGGAGCAAACAGGACAATGTAGAAATGTTTTTTGAATGAAAATTAAAAACAGAAATGCAACTAGATTAATGGAGACATGCTAAAGAATATTTGAAAGTTAAAATCTGACACTGAAAAATATGTCTTGGTATACATTAGGCTTTTTCAATACCATGCTTCATGTTGCATGCAATACCATGCTTCCTACTGTTAAAAAAGAGAAAGAACACCCAAAATGTAGTCACTTGTGCTAACCCCACATCAGTAAACCAAAATGTAATACCTAATCTAACTACGGTTTCAACCCCCTTGAATGTATGTAACCTTTAACAAGTTAACACCAAATTACCTGGTTTGCACTAGAGAAATAAATAATCCACCCAATAAACCCCTACCCTTCCCCTCAGGAAGGCGACCTTGCCTGAAACAAGGCATTCTTTGCAAATAATTTCTTTTTTCCATCTGTCTTTAAAAACCTCCCTTTTCTACAGCTGGTGGAGCTCCTTTCCCTTGCTAATTGGGATGTTGCCCAATTCATGATTCACTGAATGAAGCCAATCTGATTTTTAAATTTACTCAGTTGAATTTTTGTTATTTAACTCTATTAACAATTACTAAAAGCAATGGCTCCCATTTCAGGGCACAAACTTCATAAAAGAAGACTTGCGTCAAGAACTGTCAAAGGTCTGTAGTTTTATTGTATTTGTAAACTAAAAAGAAGTTAGCCTGCCACAGTTTCATGGATATAACAAAAAATATAAGACTCTTGGATCAGAGGACAAAGAATGGTTTTTTACTTGTTTTTTTTTACTCGCAGCAAGAGAAGTAATCTCATTCTTTCTATTTTTTAAAGATTTATTTTTTTTACAGCGAGACAGAGAACATGGAGAGATGGGGAGAAGGAGAGAGAGAATATCAAGTGTACTCCCAACTGAGTACAGGCCCAACATGAGGGTCAATCTCACAACCCTGAGATCATGACCTGAGCCAAAATCAAGAGTCGAATGCTTAACTGACTGCCACCCAGGCACCTCAGGATCCTCATTCTCTTGCAGCAATCCCCCAAGTCCAATTCTCACACAGTTATGGGGCAAAGGCCAGGTAATATCAGCAGAAACAGTGAGTTGTATTATAGGAGAGGAACCCTGAGCTTAGGAATCCCTAATTTTTATAATGGGCTTCAATCAAACCTGCCCTGTGCTTTATAGAGCAAAACACTATCTCTAACCTACAAAATTATTCATTACACAAACATCCTTGAAAAGATAGTTGAGAGGTGGGGCCAATATATGTGTATTTCTATTGGTGCTGTTAATGCCTGTCTGGGGACCATACTTTAAGAAATGTTATACTAAAGGAAGGAAGAGTATTCTGGGCAAGAACAACACAAAATGATAGAGCAAGATGGCATAGGAGTAGAAGACCTAAATTTCCTCTACTCCCAGGAATTCAGCTAGATAGTTATCAAACCATTCTGAACACCTACAAACTCAACAGGAGATTGAAGAAAAGAATAGCAGCAATTCTATGAATAGAAAAGTGACCACTTTCTGGAAGGTTGGATGTGCAGAGAAGTGAATCCGAGGTGATATATGGGAAGACAGACCTTGGGGGGAGGGAGCCTCCATCAGCCGGCTCCTGGCAAGCGATCGAGCAGCAGAGCACAAAATCAGAACTTTTAGAAGTCCACTCCACTGAGGGACGTTGCTCCAGAGGGTAAGTGAGGGATGGAGCTCTTGCAGGGACAGTGTGTCTCAGGACCTTCAGGATCACAGAAAGACTGAGGGTGCCTGAGTGTGGCAGAGCTCCCAAGTATCAGAACAGGGAAGCCGGCTGCAAACACGGAGACAAGGAGTGGGCTCTCAGCTTGGGGTTGCCATAAACCATGATCCCTGGCAAAGTCGGGCCACTGCTCTTTGAACAAGAACCCCAAAAGTGGCAGACCTGGGGAGACCCCCACCACTTCCTCCACCAGGAAGAGTGGCGCAGGAGTGCACTGCAGGAATTGGCTGGGTTTGGAGACTCCAAATGGTGCCATGTGCCAGAGATAGGAATGCTCAGTCACAGGCTGGGTGAGCACAGAGCACAGCCAGAGACCAGGGAGACAGGAATGATTGCTTTTCTCCGAGGGCGCACTAAGGAATGGGACCCCAAGCTCTCAGCTCCTCCAGGCCAGAGATTCAGAGGCCACCACTTTCATTCTCATCCTCCAAAGCTGAACGGAAAGTATTCAGGGAACAAAAGCTACTGAGAGCAAAACTGAGCAGATTACTTATCCTGGCCCCTGGAAAGGGCAGTGAAATTCTGCCTTGGAATCATAGCAACAGGCCCCTCCCCCAGAGTATCAGCAAGAACATCCAGCCAAGAACAAGGTTACCAACCAATGAGAACTGCAAAACTCCAGTGCTAGGGGAATACAGCACATAGAATTCATGGCTTTTTCCCCATGATTCTTTAGTCTTTCAAAGTTAAAAATTTTTAACTTTCTTTTTTCTTATTTTTCCATTTTCCTATTTTAACCAACATCTTATCAATACATTTTTTAAAAATCTGTTTTAATTTTCATTTTTATAATCATATTCTACCCCTTCGTTGTATTTAACCTTATTTTTTCTATATATGTGTGTGTGTGTGTGTGTGTGTGTGTTTTAATTTTGGGATACAGTTTCTTCTAACAGACCAAAATACACCCTAAATCTACTGTATGGCTTTGTTCTAGTCTCCTGCCTGATCACATTCTCTCTTTTTTTTTTAAATTTTTTTCTTTCTTTTTTCAACCAACTTCTCATCAATTCCTCTTTTAAAATATTTTTTAATTTTCATCTTTACAGTCATATTCCATCCCTTCATCGTATTTACCCATATATATATATATATATATATATATATATATATGTATGTATATATATATATATATATCTTTCTTTCTTAAAATTTTGGGAGGCAGTTTCTTCTAAAAGATCAAAATACACCCAAAATCTAGTGTGTGGTTCCATTCTATTCACCAGCCTGTTCATATTCTTTTTTTTCTTTACTTTCCTTTCTTCACCTCCCAGTTGTGGGTCTCTTCTGATTTGTTTAGTGTATATTTTTCAGGAGTCATTGTTACCCTTTACCATTTTGTTCTCTCATTCATCTATTCTTCTCTGGACAAAATGACAAAACAGAAAAACTCACCTCAAAAAAAAAAAAAAAAAAAAAAAAGAACAAGAGGCAGTACCGACTGCCAGGGACCTAATCAGTAAGGACATTAGTAAGATGTCAGAAATAGAGTTCAGAATGACAATTATAAATATATTAGCTAAGCTTGAAAAAAGCATAGATGATACTAGAGAATCCCTTTCTGGAGAAATAAAAGAACTAAAATCTAACCAAGTTGGGATCAAAAAGGCTATTAATGAAGTTCAATAAAAAATGGAGGCTCTTACTGCAGAATAAATGAGGCAGAAGAGAGAATTAGTGATATAGAAGACAAGATGATAAAGAATAAAGAAGCTGAGATAAAGAGAGATAAACAACTATCAAATCATGAGGGAAGAATTCAAGAGATAAGTGATACCACAAGACAAAACAACATTAGAATAACTGGGATCCCAGAAGGAGAACAAGAGAGGAGCAGAAGGAATACTGGAGCAAATTAAAGTGGAGAACTTCCCTAATTTGGGGAAGGAAACAGCCATCAAAATCCAGGAGGCACAGAGAATCCTCCTCAAAAATCAATAAAAATAGGTTAACACCCTGTCATCTAACAGTAAAACTTAAAAGTCTCAGAGACAACAACAACAAAAAATACTGAAAGCAGCTCAGGAACAAGAGATCTGTAACCTACAATGGTAGGAATATTAGACTGGCAGCAGGCCTATCCACAGAGACCTGGAAGGCCAGAAAGGACTGGCATGATATATTCAGAGCAATAAACAAGAAAAATATGGAGCCAAGAATACTATACTCAGCTAGGCTGTCACTGAAAATAGAAGGAGAGATGGGGCACCTGGGTGGCTCAGTCATTAAATGTCTGCCTTCAGCTCAGGTCATGATCCCAGGGTCCTGGGATCGAGCCCCACATCGGGCTTCCTGGTCAGTGGGAAGCCTACTTCTCCCTCTCACACTCCCCCTCTTATGTTCCCTCTCTCTCTGTCAAATAAATAAATAAAATCATTTAAAAAAATAGGAGAGATAAAAAGCTTCCAGAACAAACAAAAACTGAAAGAATTTACAAATACCAAACCAGCCCTACAGGAAATACTGAAAGGGGTCCTCTAAGCAAAGAGAGAGCCTAAAAGTAACAAGAACAGAAAGGAACAGAGACAACGTACAGTAACAGTCACCTTACAGGCAATACAATGGCACTAAATTCATCTTTCAATAGTTACCCTGAATGTAAATGGGCTAAATGCCCCAATCAAAATCACAGGTATCAGAATGGATAAAAAAAAAAGACCAACTGATATGCTGTCTGCAAGAGACTCATTTTAGACCCAAAGACACCTCCAGATTTAAAGTGACAAGGTGGAAAACCATTTACCATGCTAATGGACATCAAAAGAAAGCTGGGGTGGCAATCCTTTTATCAGACAAATTGGATTTTAAACTGAAGACTATAGGGTGCCTGGGTGGCTCAGTGGGTTAAGCCTCTGCCTTTGGCTCAGGTCACGATCTCAGGGTCCTGGAATCGAGTCCCGCATCAGACTCTCTGCTTGGCAGGGAGCCTGCTTCCTCCTCTCTCTCTCTCTGCCTGTCTCTCTGCCTACTTGTGATCTCTGTCAAATAAATAAATAAAATCTTTAAAAAAAATAAACTGAAGACTATAATAAGAGATGAGGAAAGTCACTATATCATAATCAAAGGGTCTGTCCAACAAGAAGATTTAACAATTTTAAATATCTATGCCCCTAACATGGGAGCAGCCAATTATATAAGCCAAAAAAAAAAAAAAAACCAAAAAAAAAACCATAGCAACAATAGT